TTTAAAATTTTATTAAAAAATTTTAAAATTTAAAAAAGTTTGCAGACAAATTTGGCTGCAAAACAATTTAAGGGATATAACAAATACAACATTTGTATATCTCTACTATAAAGTATTGCTTTAACATTAGTATTTCTTTCTGACTATACGACCGACTCCTGAATAAATGGTCTGACCTAATCCGTATCTCAAGCCAGATGCTGCCGTTATCAATAGACCCATATCTCAAGCCACTTACTGCTGCTATTAGAAGAAATTCATGGGACCTATCCAATTTAGTAGTACTGTATCTATCGAACACGTGGTTGTAATCTACTCAGCTATCCAGATTTGGAACATAAACAATGTCAATCCTTTGGAGGGGGTAAGCCAAATCCCTACTTTTTGTCCAGAAATTTTTTACAGAACGGTGAAAGTTGTAGAAGGTATTTTTTATAGATAGAAAGCGACTACTTGTGATGCTTATAAGGAGTGTGCTGAAAAATAAAAGTATTTGTTGTTCCCCTTGTCTTTTCTGTTTGACTTCTAAGAAACTTCATTAACGGAAACCCTTCTCTTCAAGACACCGTCTCTATCAAAATTTTTTGTACAAGGGCACTACCTGCCAGTTATCTTGCACTAAAATGCTTTTGGCTTGCATGCCGAATATATAAAGGAGTTGGTAAAGATAGCAGACCAACCTCTACAAAAACCACCTCATCAAACATTATCTCTAACAAAATTTTTTATTTTTCTTTGGGTAAATTGTTTGTAACAAGTGATCGTCAGAAAGAGTTTTTTTTTATATTTTTTGATTAATTACTAGAAACACATATTAACAAAAGATAGTATAATAGAATTTTCTTTTTTTTTTTTTCTTTTTTATAGTTCTTATTATTATATTTTATTAGTTTATACTAGTTTCTTATTATTCTTTATTATTATTATTTTTGAGTATTTGATATTTTTTCTAAGTTTTTCTTATATTTTATTATAGTTATTTTTAGTTAGTCATAGGACAACACAGTCAAGGAGACTTCTAAACGTCCAAATGCTATAATTAGACTTGTAGATCATCATATGAGCTACACAATGATATGTGTTTTATTTTTAGTTAATATGTAAGTTATTGAGTAATGTAGCGCCGGTTTTGCTAAAAATAACTTAGCTCAGCATTCTACTCAGTATTGCTTGGTGGGCTTTATTGGTGTTGCAGGTAATTCTACTTGGAATTTCCAAGTTGCCAAGGCCTTACATGCGTTTTGGATAGTCCAAAACATTGCTGCAACACATGGTAGTTCTAAAACCAATGAAATATTGGACTAAAAAGCTATAAAAAGGATAGCTTTTTGCCCTTCTAAAAAGCAATTCTCTTGCTACTTTAATTTTCTTTAAATAAACTTATACTTATCTATTCTTATTACCAAAATTATTTCTTTTTCCTATTTATTTTATGTTTTTATATTTTTTTTTTAATAAATTCTTTCTCTTTCTTGGAATAATATAAAGTGAAAGCTGGTTTCGGAAATAGTATTTTGGCAAAATACTAGCTTATATTATTCAGAATTTAAAGGCCATATATAGCTGTTGACAGTCTGATTGTTAGTACTTCTTCCTTTGGTTATATCCTAGAATATTTCTAAGTTTTAGTGGCTAGCATATCCTTGTAAAGGGCAAGTAATTACTACGTCTGACCTGTACAAACTGACCAATAGGTTTAATTCCTCAAACCCTATTGCTTATTGATAACTTTTTATAGTACTTTAAAGGCTATTGAATTTAAATTCCATTATACAAATTGTTTATTTTCTTTCTTTTTATTATTCTCTTTAAATAAAAGATAGTCCACTCGATACTCATAACTTTAAAGTTTGCTAAAGCTTGATAGTTTTTAGTAAATTTTACTACAGTATGTTGTTTTCGAGATTTCAAGCATAGTAGAGGGTTTCGCATACTTTTTTAAGTGTGTTTGAGTCACCAAGTATTAAGTAGATTTGAAATCAGTTGCAGTAAAGATAGATATGGAGATCTGTAACAGTGTAGCAACTTGTTGCAGAAGGTTGTTTATAGCGGATACTAAGATCATGAGAGATTGGGGTACCAACTGTTGGGTAAGTATAATCGCATAGTTTATTGTTTTTAGAGCGTTGTGCAAATTGGTAGCTTTATAGATGTGGGCATGAAAATTGGATGAACATCTTTTAGAGACAGATATATAAGTATCAGCCGCTTGTTTTATTATATTGCAGAGGTTATTCCAACTTTTGTTAAGTGAGATCTCATCAACAATAGGTTTAAGAAAACATGAGGATACTGAAGTGTAGGTGGCGATGTATTGGGCAAAGTTTTCCCACTGCTCTATTGTAGTCGTTGAATATTGATAAATCTTTCGAAATTGTTTTTTGGTTCAGAAAATTTTCTTTATAGCTACAGTTTCTCAGGTGGTGTAAAGAATTCAATAATCACTATCAGTAAAAGTTGTTGGGTCTAGTAAAAAGAGCTGACTGAAAGATAAGGTGATTTCTGGGTTAACCCAAAAGTCATCAATCTGACTTGAGTAGTTATTCTGGCGTCAAGTCAGTTCTTGTATATCGTATAACTCTAGCAAACTGATGAATCCAATACTTGAAAGATATTGAAGAAGGTATGCATAACGATGAAATTTTGCCTGATTGATATTGTTGTTAAAGTTACCAGCAAGAACTACATTAAAATGTTGAGATTGTGCTTGACTGATCTAGTGAATTATTTTGTTTTGTGCTTTACTTGATTGAGTGGAAATAACTGAGGGGATGTATGTTGAAATGAGTCTAGTAGAGTTGTACGATAATAGATAAAGATCAATTAATAGTGCGAAGCCTGGGATAGTTAAAATCTTATGAATGCAAGGTTGTAACTGTAATATTAGAGCTATGGCGGTACCTATGCAGATTTCTCAGATATTAGCATTGACAGTATCACAATTTGCTGTAAATATTTTAAAGTAAGGATTAGTAAGTAAGGAGGGATAACATGAAAAGTAAGCGAGTTTGGTCTCTGTTATAAAGACTATATTAGCATTAAGTCGGTAGCATTCTTCAAGCCACAATTGCAATTTGAGAGGTTGATTAATTCCTTGAACATTATGATTGATAATGTTTAAGCTAGATATAAGTATTGGAGACGGTAAGTCACTATTTATATCTGATGTATTAATCATTAGATGTCGTAATAGGGTTTGTTCGAGAGTCTAGATATGGATTGATGGGTAAGTAGTTATCGAAGATATACCAGTTTGGGGCTAGGTAGGTCAGGTAGTTGTAGAAAGTAGTTGTGAATTGTACAGATTGAAAAGTGTATATAAAGTTTGTTGATTATTTCTAGTATATCAACATAATACTGAATGGAAATTTTGTTTGCTAATTTCATGTCTAGATCAGGTAATAGCAAAGTAAGGTTTTTGGAAGTGGTAGTTTTGGTTAAGCTCTATCTGTTGCTGAATCAAAATCCAGCTAGCAGGTATTTGGTAGAAAAAACAATGGTTTCTTAGTTCTCTGACAATATCCACAAGTTGTTTTAAAGAAGTAATAGGAATGGTTAGGTTCATTTCCTTAATAGCAGTGGGGTCAGATAGAAGGTTGGGCTTAAGTGTTGAGTTGACGGTCATATACTTCATTGGTAGTAGGGTAGAGAAGCTATTGTCAGCTTCAATTTTTGCAATGAATTGCTTTGCAATTTTACGATCTTGAATGGGGTATGTGTAGTTGACCTTAGTTTTTAAGGAGGTAGGTTTGCCAGTAAATGTGGTTTTTGAATAATATAGTCGTTAGGTAGACGCTTGAAGCCAAAGTGTAAATGAAGAATGTCGGCATAGCTTTTTAGATCATGAAAGTCTTTTGGTTTGCAAGGAAAGAGGTTTCAAAAATGGTGTAGTAACTGCTAAGAAGTAGAAGAGAGTGGTGATTTTTTTGGAGATAAGTCAAAGTAACTATTGGGGATCTCTTTTACTTCGTATATTCTTTGTAGTTTTTTCCTGTACTGCACAAGTATGGAAGAGCAGAACAGTTTAAAATTGGAAATAAGTCTCAGAGGGAGGGATCAAGATTAGAGGGATTGTCAAGTAATTGTAGAAGCTATTCTTGAAAGAAGCTGTCAGATAGTGATTTGAAAGAATAAATATGATGAAGCGCAGCTGCAATTGCTTGTGTTTGGCCATGATTGGTAATAGGTAAGTCAAAGGGCAGCAAATTAATGATATCATCTGGGATTTCAGATATAGACAAAGAAAGTAAAGCCAGTTTTTTTCGTATGCTTTACAGATAAGTGCTCTTGTGTCCTCAAATTGAACAGTAAAGAAGATTTTGGCGAAGTTAAGATAATAAAAAATTTTGCAGGTAATGTCATGAGGTTTAGTTTTTAAATTGATGTTTGTAATATAATCAATGGCTAGTTTTAGTTTGAGCTTTTCAAATATTTGATTGCGGTTGTGTTTGTTTATAAAGCAGGTTTGGTGCTGGTGTTTATATTTCTCTAAAGCCATGTTAAGAAGCATATTAAATTTCACTTGATGTGGTGAGGCAGTGTCTTTATTTCGAGAAAAGGATTTAAAAAATGCTGTGTCAAGAAATTGAATTTGGTTTTAATTGCTGTGAGTAAGTTGTATACAGTTGGTTGAGTGAATAGTTTGTATTTTAAGAATTGAGTAAGTTTAGCTTTATCGAGGAGTGCATCAATTATTTCATCTGTATTCTATTTAGTTGTCAAATAGTCCCTGTCTATGTACCATGCCATTGGACACTATTTGGCTCCACAGGGCAGAATTGTCTAGGCCTGCAGTTGTAATTTGTCTAGAATTATTCTGAAGAACTTGGCTATATATTTATTGTTGATATGCAGATTGGATAGTAGAATTCGAGGTATTGTTGCTAGATGTAGGTGAGTTAGCTTGGGAATTTGGTAATAGGTTGGTAGGTTCGGTATCTATCTCATTTGGGTTCAAAACCAAAGTTGGGTTTTTGGTAGGTTTGGGAGAAGAAGTATAGGGCATAGCAGTCACAGAAACAGGTACTAGAGTACTGTGTAAATTTCTATTGTTGGTTGACTGTAATCTTGGGAAATTTTTTATTTTCAGGGGCTTAGTTGGCCTGGTGCATTGCTCAATCGGGTTGTTTACATTTTGTTGTTCTTGGGGTGATAGCATGTGATCTGCAAATGGGGGTGAACTAGATTCCTCATTATTATTAGTTTTTATTGAGAAAAAGGAGGTGTTAGGAACAGAGCTTTCAGAGATTCTGTATTTTTTGTGAGGTGGGCTGCTCTCAATCAGGGTATTAACTTCAGTTGATTGTATACTGCCAAAGATAGTTTCTGATACAGAATGCAGCAATAACGCCATATGGGGCTGTGGCTTTTGAGAAAGCTTGCCGAAGAAGATAGAGTTTTTGTAAGTGATATGACTATACTTGTTGTTGTCTATCTTGATAGTTTATTTAGATCAATAGTTGGTGCAAAGCTTCAAGGCTAAAGGCCTGTTTGGAACATGAATTAAAATAAAGAACTAGTGCTATACTATATTATTTACTATTGTTTATCTTTTTTGTTAATGATTTGCAATTGTTCCGAAAAGAGTTTTTATTGTACCATATTTAAGATTTAAATATTTTAGAGAAAGAATTTTAATATTTTATGAGATTCATCTTAAAAAAGACATATCAATAAGAAAATATTAATACTACATATAATCCAAAAAGCACAAAAAATAAACAATCTAATTATGGTTTATAGTACCAAATCCAAATGATAAAGCTAAAGCCAAATAAGTTATATGCATCACATAATTTTTAATTTACAAATTTGTTAGTAATCAATTTAAAACTACCTAACTTTAGACAGCCAAACCTAATATACAGAGATAACTAGAATATATTAAAATAATTGGTTATAGAAACAAAAAAATTCTTAAAATTGTAAGTAATTTTTGCAGCTTTGCTGTCATAATAGAGTGCAAACAATCTAGGCAAGTCACCAATATTGAAATTACACCCACAAATATTTTTGATTTACAAGAAGCACTAAAAAATAAATATGTTTGGATAAAAACTATAATCAAAAAAAAATCAGAAATGCAAACTGATTAGCAAATCTAAAAATTACTTTACATAAAGAACATATTTTTTAAACCTATTGTTTTCAAAAAAATTTTATAAAGAATATCTTAAATTTTGTAAATGTTCTCAAATTAAAAATGATGTTTTCATAAAAATGATTTACATATCAACAGAAATACCCAATACAAATTACCCCAACATGAATTATTTTAATGAAAACTATAAGATAAAAATTTGTCATTGAGTTTATTTATTAAGTAATGATGATAGTTTAGCATGGTTCTATGAATTACTAATTTACTGATTACTATATAATATCCTTGAATTATTCAGAGAATTTCCCTGCCGAAGATGTTGATTTTGATATAATATGTGAAACTTAATATTAACTATCAAACAACAGGAAAAATTTTGAAATGACATTGCTGAAAATCCTGTTAGTATCAGTATACTAGACTAAACAATTATTAATAACTGTTATAATACTTTTAAAACTAATCTAATAAATCCTTTTCTTACTCCTCTAAATCATATCATTTTTATATATATATATTTATATATATAATTTTTTATCATAACATGCGATTAAAATATTTATCCCTTTATATACTGCTTATAAGTATAAAAAAAAATGTAACAGTGCTAAAATTCGCTAATAACACCTTTGATTGAGCTTTTTAAGCAAAATCAAAATCTTGGTATATACTTATATAAGTCATTATGCAAGTGGAAAAGACTTCAATTTTCTATTTCTTTTCTAGTAACACTTCTAAAGATACAAAATATCACTATTTTTTTAGTTTGATAAATAATTAACATATCAATAATTTTTTAATTTTTTGAATCTATTGAATCAAGTTTTTCAACAAATTGAAGATATACAGAATTAGTATAAATTTTAAAAACTAAGAAAGTTCGGTCATATCAAAAAATCCTTATATATTAAAAAATTTAAAAACTAAGAAAGTTTAGCCATATCAGAAAATTTTTAATAAAAAATTTAAATATTATTTAGTCAATAATCAAACTGTATTTTATTACACTCTGGTTCATATTCAATTACATTATAGAAAATTTTTAGCAAAGAAATTTTCAAAAGAAGCAATAACAATTAGAGAATCCTCTAACCATATAATTAATTCAAAAAGACCTTATATTATTATTAATTCTTAAAAAGAATGTAATATAACATAAATATAGTTTTTATTATGTAAATAATATATGAATGTTTATAAAATATTTATACTAGAATAAAATAGTATGCCCAATCTGAACAATTAAATTAATCAGCTTATTAACTGAATAATTAGAGTAGGTAATGAAAAAAAAAATGGATACACAGTTTAAATTAATGTTTCAGGTGAAACAATTTCACTAGAAAGAAATAATTACAGTTTAACTATAAAATACATAGTAAATTTTGCACATCTTGAAATTTGAAATATTTTACCCAATTGAAAATATTTCAGATTCTAATCTTGCTTATAATGAAAATTCAGAATAAATAAATTGTATTCCATATACTAGACATAAATCCTCTTCTTAATATTTGGAAGTTCTGGTCACTATGTTTTTTTGAGGACATTTTATATTAAAAAAAAATTAGTGACATTTTAGGCCACCACCTTCCCCACCTACCCACTCCTTAAAAATTCTTTAAAAATAATAAAAAAAGTAAAAAAAATAGATTAAATTAAAAAAAAGATAAAAAAAATATTAAATTAAATAAAAAAACATTAAATTAAATAAAAAAAACTATTAAATTAAATAAAAAAATCGTTAAATTAAATAAAAAAAAAGTTAAAAAACTGTCAAAGAAAAAGTTAAATTAAAGAAAAAAAGAGTTATATTAAAGAAAAAAGTTTAATTAAAGAAAAAAAGAGTTATATTAAAGAAAAAATTTTGAAAAAACCGTTAAATTAAAGTAAAAAAAAATTAAATTAAAAAAAAACACTAAATTAAAGTAAAAAACACTAAATTAAAGTAGAAAAAAAAGTTAAAAAAAATTAAATTAAAGAAAAAAAGTCAAATTAAATAAAAAATAAACTACAAACTTAAATAAAAAAAGTTAAATTAAAAAAAATATATTAAATTAAAGAAAAAAAATTAACCGTTAAATTTAAAAAAAACACTAAACTAAAGTTAAAAAAAGTCAAATTAAAGAAAAAATATTAAATTAAAAAAAAAACACTTAAATTAAAAAAAAAACTACTAAATTAAAGAAAAAAACTCTTAAATTAAAAAAAAACCCCTATTAAATTAAAGAAAAAACTATTAAATTAAAGAAAAAAAATCGTTAGATTAGTTAACTTAAAAAAATATTAAATTAAAGAAAAAAATCGTTAAATTAAAAAAAGGGTTTAATAATTTATCGCCATAGCCAGTCTATGCGGAGTTTGAAATTTTGCTTACAAATCATCAAAATTTCAAACTCCGCATAGACTGGCGATACATCACTATGCCGATAAATTTTAAATTATCGTAAATAAAAAATTTTTTTATGTGTAATTGAATATTTAGGGTCCTCTCCAACTTTTACTATGCTATAGCATATTTCAAAATCAAGTTCGCGATAATTTTCTATACTCTTACGACAATCAATTGTGCCAACAATCTTTGTACCTACAAACTCGGTAAAATTTAGATTTTACTAAATATTTTACAATATGTACCCTTCTTAACATGAATTCCATGCTCAAGGAGAAATATCGTCTGCCTCCAATGTGTAACCCCACCTTGCGGCCCTGTTGTAAAACTGGTAACACCATCAATCTTATCATTCACATTCTGTGACAATGGGATACAATGGCCGTCTCGTGTAAACCACGTGTCAAAATAACCTAAGAATCCATGAACAGTACCGTCACGAGATATTTCTAATGTAAACGGTGAAGTGAAATTCAAGTGGGATTTGCAAAAATTGTATGCAGAGAAACTTCCTTGAAAATATTAAAAGTTAAGAAATATAAAAAAAACATCCCGAAAAAAACAATTGTTTAATATTATAACTGAAACCGCATCGGAAATAAGTGCATCTGGTGCTACATAATCTATAATAGCACTCGCATGAATTGGACGTTTCATTG